TTGAAGAGTATTTTTTTCCTTTTTTTTTTTTTTTCTCAATTACCTTACCTCAATCCATAACTTTATCTTCAAGTGATAAAAAGAAAAAAAAAGTGTTCGTACAAGAGAAAGAAAGAAACAAATTTCGCATGATTCAATTTCATTTTTAAACGGATGCAAAGGACGTTTTGACGTTTTAAAAAAAATTTTAAACGTTTTAAAGACGTTTTAAACGTTTTTGAAATTGACGAAAGTTCAATTTTAGTATGAGAAAGGAAAGGAAGGCGGAGATATGAATTATTCATCCTTTAGTAAAACTAATTCAGTTATTCGGCATTTTCAAAAATTCCAATTAATTCATACTCGTTTAAATATTACCACTTACAAACAACGTCTACATTGTCCGTAATTTGATGAGAATTCAAAATTAACATAAATTAACGACAAAAATGTAATGATGTCACGATGATTTAGGATTAACAATAGCCAGAGGAAGAATAATGAAACTTTAAATTCTGTTAAATGGAAAAGAATTATCAAGAATATCCTAATAGGATGGGGAAGGAAAAAGAAGAAAGTTTAAAAAGGCATTGCTCAAATCACAATATTAGATGAGAAGAAGGAAAAACGTGAAAATGAATATATCCGGAATATATTACCTAAAAAGTAAACCGGATAATGATTCGTAATTTATATTTATGTATGAATTTGTTAGTATTAAAGCTTACTTTAAGTAAGCTTACGAATATTTAAAGAGTTTTTAACGTATCAAAAATATTTTAAAAAAACACGTCGGAAAGTTTTCATCTGCATTAACATCTGATAAAGGTTTAACAAAAATATAGATAGACATAAACAAACATAATAGCAAAATAACAATTGATAAAGGTAAACAATTTGTGTGATAAAAATTTGTACAACAAATAAACCATCACCCTAATATCGAACTTATTCACCAATTATTGATAATGGTACCAGAAAAACACACCGTATCAATTCAAACTTTTGATGGAAAAGAAAAAGAATGTGTAAATGCATCCTTTAAATAAGCTATTTAATTTTAATTTTATTACAATAATTTTCAATATGCAAATTTTAGTAAGCAAATAAACAAAAAAAAACATTAAACGCTAACATTTAACGATTGATCAAAATTAAGCTAACATTTAACGATTGATCAAAATTAAGCTAACATTTAACGATTGATCAAAATTAATTGCAAACATATATTGCCATTACTAAAACAATAACAATAAATTATTATTATTATTGTTATTTACTACTAATATTGTTACTATTTAAGTTCAAGTAATACTAGTAATAGTAATTGTAGTAGTTGTAGTTGTAGTAATTAGTAATAGTAGTAGTAATTACGTAGTAGTAGTAGTAGTAGTAGTAGTAGTAGTAGTAATAAGACTGATAGTGGTAGTAATGATGCGGACAGTTCTGGAGTACATTGAAGATACAGGGAAAGGTAAAGGTAGAGAGAGAGAGGGAGAGAGAGGTAGAAGTAGAGGTAGAGAGGGAGAGAAAGAGAGAAAGAGATAGAGGTAAAGGAAAGGATAGAGGTGAAGATCGAGGAAGAAGGATAAATAGTTGAGGTAATGATAGCTGAGTGAGTGACCTTCAAATTAGGAAAGGAAGAGTTCAAGAGGTGGGAAAAGGAATGCTTGAAGACGATAATACACTAAAATATGACATAAATCAATGCAAGGATGAACACATATAGATAAATAATTGTCGCGTTTACAATCAGCATCGTTGCTACAGCAACAGAAGGTTAGCATCATGTCACCAATCATTATCATCATCAATGTTGTTATCATCATTTTACCATCAACAACAACTGTTACCATTATCACTATCATTTCAACCATTAACTATTATTATCATCATCATTATTAATTATCGTTATTACTAGGCAAATCAATACGACTTATTCCCATCAATTATTTTATCTTATCAAAAAAAAAAAAAAAAGTTATTTTAATTCTTAATTTTTACTTATTAAATAGATATTAAAGTTGTTATTTAAACATAAATGAACTATGTTATATCAACAAATGTACTATGGATAAGAAAAAGAGAGAGAGAGAGAGAGAGAGAGGAAGGAAA